ATTGCCAGTAAGATAAAACTGGCTGCTATGATTCCAGGTTCATCTGAAGTAGAGCAGGAGAATTTGTGAATTTGAAGTTGCCCTTTATGACCTTCACTTGATCTTGGATGTGAAGAAAATCTAGTCTTTAATCTCAAATCCATGACCTCCATGTGAGTTTGGAATTTGCAAAACAGCTAAAATACAACCTGTGTAGTTTCTTTCCTACAGCCAGCATCTCCCTTGCTAAAGGAGTGTGAATCAATAAAATTTCAGTAAAAATTTCAGAAAGTTCTATAGCTACTTCATGCTGTAAGCACCATTTGTTTTCAGGCCCTGGAAACAAAGTTGATTGAGTGATCCTTTAAATCTCTTACCTAAATCTGCTGCAGTTCCTTGGAGAGAATCTATGAATTTTAGTGGGTGTTTTAGCTCCTGAGGGAGTAATTTCCTAAGCAGTAAAAAATGCAATGCTGATTTGCATGGGACAGAGGCTGTCCAGGTGGATGAGTGTCACTTTGTTCCATGACCAGAGGTCTGTGTATGCCATCAATCCATGCTGGCAATAGGGCTGTAGGAGCAAGGGGAGTACCACCCCCTTCCCTTGCCAGCTGTAGTTAGAGATGAGGCTTTCCAGCCTGATTTTCAGGATATCTTGGTTCAAGATATCAAGACCTCCAGTCCTTGCCCAGTTAACATTCAGACAGAGCTCTCCCCCAAATCAGAGGAAGCTCTAGATAAGAAAATGCAAAGTCAGGGTGAAGAGCCAATTGCCTTTTTAACCACATTTTCTTCTTGAAATCAACTCCACACTGCGCTTGTGTGACAGATGGCTTTTGGCACTCGAGTCAGCACACAGCAGGAATGACAGCTGGAAGTCTGCAGGACACATTCCCATTTTCTTTGGCCCATCCTGTGGGAGACAGATGTGTTTGCAGCTGTGGCTGAATCCTGCTCCAAAAGGCAGGCCTGGGTACAGGCTGCAGGCTTTGACCAGCCAGACCCTTCTCAGCTGGCCAAGAATTTTGTGAATGCATCACCTGTCAGAGCTAGGCAGATGGCAAATTTTACTGTTTCAATTTCTCTTATATTCCATTATCCCCTTAACTTTTTAATTTGACTGCTCTAATAAAATAATCAAATTTTATAAGTCTTGTATTTTTGCTTGGTAGGCAAACATCACAGATATCAAATCACAGTGCAAAGGCAAATACTTGGAATCATCAAGACATCCTGCATCCATAGTGATCCATTTATAATGCATTAAAGTTATAGTGCTATAGGCCAGTTTAACTGTTCAAACACATTATGAGCAATGTTTCAGGTAACTATCCTGGGAATGACAGACATTTCAGGAAGTGATATGCTCAGGGAGCATAAAAAGCAAAATGTGTTGTCATTAATGGTTTTAATAGGTGATTTCAGATTTTGGCATCCTGAAGGCAACATTATTTTATTCTTCCAACTATTTTTTTTAATCTACTGCTCAAATTTCTTGAAAAAATATGAAAAATATTTTGAAGGGGTACATTTCTTGCTGAAGACAGTGTTTGTTTTCCAACATACAAACTTTATAAAGACAAGGAACAAATCTTTGACTTTATGTTCTGTGAAATAGGAAAATCATTTTGCAGTAACTTTTGCTCTCTTCTTTTGATAGAAATGTTTATTAATAGGCTTGGAGCCCTGATGGACCCAGGCAAAACTTAACAATGTCTGACAAGCCATTCACAGTAAAACTGGTTAATGTCACCTTCACTTAGCTGAGATGATTTAACTTCTCTTGCCCCTTTGCCCATTATGTCAAAGAGGTAACAATAAATACTTGGGAAATAAAAATTAGCTTTACTTCTGTGTTCAAATGGAAGCAATACAATAAACAAAACCTGTTCATATTCTATATACTGCTTAAACCAGGAAATATTCTTTTTCCAGCAAAACACCATATTGGACAGACAACCTAAGCCCACAGCATTTACTCAGGAAAATGCCCACAGGGCTGGAGATCCCTAATGCACAGGAAAAGTCACGTATAATTCTCTCTTCTGAATAATACTGGAAGCCTTTGCAGGTTCATTGAATCTATTTCTGTCACATAGGCTTCTCTGCCAGGTATAAAAGAAAATTGTAATTAAAGACAGCCAAAAATGTCCTAAATTTTTAATCTTAACTCTGTTGTCTTCAAAGATGTGAGTGGGCAAAATAGAAAAAACAGTGAATGAACGATAGACATCATGAACTTTGGCTTCTGATTTTTCTGCCTTTCCTGTGGGGAGAACTTCCAAAAGAAACTGTCTTATTAAAAATTAGTCCATACTTTATGCCAATATGTATTGTAAAAAGCATATTCTTATGCTTACCATGGATAATTTAAATATTAATAAATGGCAGAAGTTACTAATTACTATGATAATTAAGTAATCACTGTCATATTAAATTTAGATGTATCCAAAATAAGATATCCTTAAAACAACTGCAGATTTAAAACTTGTATTGAATATTACTTGTCTCTGATTGCCAGAATTATGTGATTTCTCTGTACAGGAAAACATCATCTAAATAAACAGGATGTGGCTTTCAACCAGAGACACCATTATCTTCAATCAAGTTGTATTTTACCTGGTTACAGGAAAAACATAAATAAAATTCTCATCCAGCCTTACATTGGCTTTCCAGTAATGCTGTAAAAGTGCCCTATCCTAAATGTGAAGTTTATTTCCCCCAGATTTTCATGTTGTTATTTTCTCACAAATCTTGTACTTGGAATTGAGCTGAGCAGTGATCAGAGGATGTGAGGATGAGATAAAATTCCTGAGGAAGGAAAGGGTTTTTTCCACTTAGGGGCTTTTATATATATTTAGGAGCTTTTATATATATATCTATTTCTGCACTATTTATGGAAGAGAAAAACTTAACTTGTAGGGTTTTCCCACATTTGTGGCCTGTTTGTAGAACTCTTTCCCAGATCATCTTATTAACTGCTTTATGTAAATTACTAACACATTCACGTTAGAGCTGGAATCTAGATTTTGCCTTTGTGTCAGGAATTTATCAGCATATTGTTTTTTTATCTAATCCGCATCTCTGAGATTTTTTTTTAGTATTTTCAGGGGTTTACATAAGGTGAAACTCTTTCAAATAGGTCAAATACCTTTTCTTTTTCCCTGTAACTACTTTTAAGCTTGATTCTGCAGAATTTTATCTAAGTAGCCCTGGAAGATTATATAAATTTTTGTCAGAGGCTTTATTTTCTGAAGTTGTGTTTGTAACCAAGAAAAGTTTCCAAGTTAATATCCATCTTTACTCCCAAAGCAGTTACATGAGTAACTCCTTATAGCATTTTATGACTGTGCTATATTTATGTAAATTATTGAACATTCAGTTTAATAACAGAAAATAAAGCATTTTCAAGGACACAGAAAAGAAGACCCAAGTTCTTAAAGATGGCTAAATTTCCCACCTCCATGAAGACACATAACAGGATGGAATTAACCTGTCTGAAAGAACCCTTCCTCATAACTCTCTGGATATAAAGATTTTAACTCTCTAAAAAGAATTCTTTTAACAAGTCTCTTAGGTATTTATACTGCTTCAAGAAATGACCTTGCATTGGGATCTCAGCTTCCATTTGGCTGCTTCCAGCACTCAAACTCGTTTGTCCTGACGCTGCTGCCCCTGCAGAGCATCCTGCACTCAGGCAGTGAGGGAAGGGCAAAGGAGCAGCTTTGTGACTCGTCTTTATGGCCAGCTGTAATAGCCATTACCTAGAAGCCCCCCTCTAGCATTCTGACTGAAGTGGCCACAAATATTTTAGTTTTTCTTTGGGAGCAGATTTCCAAAACAAAAAATAATATCATATCTATGGCATCATAGCTATGATTCTCCTGTTTGTGCAGTGAAATTTGTCTTATTCTTTGATAAAACCAAGCAACCACAAATTGGTTTCTTTGTATCCTGCCCAGATATGTCAGAATTTATGAGATCACATTTGCAGTCTATTTGCATCCTTCACATTAACAGTTTCTGTTACAGATTGTGTATATACCACAAAACATTAAAATGTGTGCATGCATTTTTCAAAAGATATAAGGAAAAAAATTAGTAAAGAAAGTTACAGCACAGTTGGATTCTATAAAAACTACTTTTTAGAGTCTTTCCTCAAAGCACTCTTCTGTAATAAATATTATTTTATGAGCCTTCTAGGGTCATATAATAAATATAATAAATAAGACCTCTGTAATGAATATTACATTATTACCCTTCTAGGCATTTGGATTGCTCCTGTGAGATAGTTAGCTGAAAATTTCTAGAATATCTCAACAGTTAATGAAACAAACAACCAAACATTATAAGCATGAAAGTTACTCAGCTTGCAAACATTGTATTTTTACTTTTTTCTTTACACTGCATAATATTGTATTTTCCCCTTTTTTTTAACCCTGCATAAAAGTTCCAATAAGACTGCAATGACCTGACAAAGAAGAACAAATTATAAAAGCATAAGTAGTTCAGGTTTTTGTGATGTAATTGAGTTCATTCCCTGGGAGAAGAATCATTCAGAAGAAACTTTTTTATTGAAATTGTTTCATTGCAGATGGGAAGCAGCAAAAAGCTCCAGGGGGCTTGTATTTTTATGTTGTTCTCAGTGATATGAGCAGTAAGAGAGTAAAATTATCATGCAGTTTATGGGATACAGAGGTTAACTGGGGAGCTAAACCAGGTAAGAAAACAGGGTTGCTCCAGGGCTGGGACCACTGTGGGCAAGAGTTGATTGAATGGATTTGGAGATATTCTAAAGAGTCATCTTTCCAAAAAATGTTGCCTGCCTGTGAATAAAAAAGGGACTCTTATCCTGGGCTGTCAGCCCAGTGCTTTCCATGAACAAAGTGTGTGATTGCTTTGCCATAACAAAGAACTGGATTTGGGCTTCACCAAGAACTTCTGTATCTCTTAGAACACATTTTTAAACACAAATTTTAAACACATTTTTAAACACTGGTTGGTTCTGCCTTTCTTTCTAGCCTTACCTCTTCTAGAGGTGTCAGCACAGAAGAATAACAGCCCCCGAGGCTGGTGTAGGTGGTTACCAGATCTCCACACTCGTTCTCCGTGTCTGCTTACACACCTGACTTACACTGGAAGAGCTGGGTGAGCATCTGCCAGTCCCCAGAGCAAAGGAACAGCAGAGGTAGGTTGATTTCTGCTATTTATTGTAGCTGTTTCTCTCATGGTATGTGGGGTGATTGCACGTCATAAGGACAGAGGGGAAAGCAGGATGCTGTGATCTCACAACAACTTGATGCATCCAAAAAACAGAAGCTATAACACAGAGATGTCTTACTCATCTTAGTTTTAGGGAGGAAAAAATGTGATACGCCCAAATAAGAGACCTCAGCATTGATTTGAGGGAAGATAACCAGGCCTGATCAGTGGAAAAAAATATTTTAGAGTTGTTTTGAGGTGAGAATCCAAACAATTTTTCAATATCTGCTGTTTTTCCATGATGAACTAATATTTGAGGGCAAGTCCATCAGTTCTGATTTCCATGAGGTGAAGGTTCAATCCCATAGCTGGACGTTAGATGAAGGTAGTGTTTATATTATTATTGCAGATAATAAATGGTTTGGTCATTTTGGTGAAGAATCAGTTTACAGCTGGCAAAAAAACCCTAAGCATTGCTGCAGAACCTCTAACATGTTCTCAGGCCTATTTTACAAAGGGGAAGGTTGCATCAATGAGGAGGCACTGGACTGTGGTATAAGAAAAATTCAGTAAGTGTAGCTGAATTTATGACTGCTGAAGACTTTTAAAGGATGCAGACACCTCACTTGGTGCCAGGCCAGACTTACCCCTACATTACTCCATTGACTTAAACACACACACGTTTGACTCACTGTTAATGAGACTGGTTTTTTTTCTAGAATATTTAGTTCTGCAGCTATCCTCTGAGTCCCAGGAGGAATGTACCTGGCTGGGAAGAGTACAGGACATGCTGGGTTTGGCTGGGATGACTGTTTTGGTTGCTCACTGAGTGTTCTCATGTCTCCTTGCTCTTGCATTCAGAGAAATCCTTGCATATACATTCATGAGAAATTTGTAACTGTGGACTCAAAACTTCTGAAAACTCAAAGCTTTCTTACATAGATTTTATAAAAAGTCCAAATGAGAGTCATGGAAAAACTGTTTTTGGAATAATACTGCTTTCTGACAAGATGTGTTTTCTTGGGGGAATGGTAAATCATCTCTAATATTTTCTAAGGCATTGACCTCACTGGTGATGTAGCACCCAGAGCCACCATTCTCCCACTGAGTAGGGAAGCCATCATTTCATTTATTGCTGTGATTAATGTTATGTTGTGATATTTTTAAAAGCCCAATGTCCAAAGCTTTCTAATTCTCCTAATTTCAGAGTTCAGCACAAAAGCATGAAAAGCCAAGACCTGCAGAACCAAAAGAAAATTGTCAAGAAGAGGGGAAAAAAACAAAGACAGAAAAGAAACGTTCAAATGTAGTTCAGCTTTACCATATAAGCCATGGGGACTAAGTGACTTCCAGATATCACCCAGACAGATTTGTAGCCCCCACAATTCACAGGTGAAGAGAGAATGAAGACCCACATGGTTGTGCACATCTCAAGTCCCTTTTCCAAAGGGAGTTGCAGGCTTGTCCTAACTCTGGACACTTTGTGAGGGAGGCTCTTTTCCCCTGACATGTGGAGAAGAGCATTCCCTTGCCTGATACAGCTGCCTCCATCCACAAGTCACATTTCTGAGAAACCACATGAAGGACACAGGGACTGCAAAGCCATTGCTCAATGCACTGAAGAAAACTTTGATAGAAGACAGTAAAACAAAAACTTGATGATGGGTGTGGATGATAATGAAGACTACACTCACAAATTAGCACATCTCCCTGAAGTTTCCTAAGCCCTTGGGCACCTAAAGCTGAGGAACTGTTTTCTATCATGAGGGTGATTGAGAAACTCATGTGTGGCTAACCAAGAAACTTGATTGATTCACTATCTCAGTTGTACAAGAAGCCCAGAAGAAATCAATGAGTAGTGCAGAAGCTGAAAAGCCAACAGCTGAGCTGAGAAAACAGGATCTAACTAAATTGCACCACATAAGACCCTAAACTCCTATTAACTTCCAAACCAGAGCATTAAGTTTTCCAAACCTCCCTCAACTCCAGTTATTACTTTAAATTCTCTTCACCACACAGAAAATGGTGAAGATATGGACATTTTTACATATCAATACGTATCTTCTGATTTCTGATTAGGGCATCATTACATTTTCAGAGAGTCCCAGTTCATCCTAGTTTTTGAAAATTACATTGAAAAGAACAAAAAGTTATCCCAGAATTTTCATCATAATCCAAGTTTAGCAGTAACTTTTTTTTTATGAGTACAGCTTTATCTATCAGACTGAATGTAGAGACAGGGCTCTTGTGCAAAGAACATCTCACAGTATGGCACCCTTGCCCAAACTTCAGGGCAAGAGTATAAAATTATACTCAAATCTGACTCTCATTTTTATTCAAATGGTGAATAGGAAATCAACACTATATGCTATGCTTCAGGGTATCTTCATCATAAGACTATTTGTATCTAGAACTGCAGATAAACTAAACCTCAATTAACCAAATCTGGTTATAATCCCTCCCTATGGGCACTCAGCATATTTAAAAAGAGGTAGCACTGTAATTTGTTAATTTACCTAAAAAAAAAAGCAATAAAACTGTCTGCTTAAGAAGAAAAAGCATAGCTAATGATCTCTGCCTGCTGGATTCCTAAAATCTTCTGGACTATCCTAAGCCTTTATTGCCTCAGCCCCATTGATTTCATGTTCCAGAGTTGGTCTTTAGACCCAGATAATCCATATACCTGCACAGTTCACAACTGAACATCCAGTTTTGCTTTAACTGAAATGGTTTTACCTATTTCCTGTATTTCTTTTACTTTTGTGCCAGTCAGAGGCAAAGATTTCAAAAAAAGAAAGATTTCAAACAATTACTGTCAGCTTCTGGGCCTGAACTTACCTCTATGTGTATAGCAGTCTCTATTCCCCTAAGAAAATATCTGTTTCCATGCTTTATGTTTTCTTTATGGAGTAGAGTGTACAAAATAGATGTGTTTATATCAGGATGCTTAGGGATGCACAGCTGCCTGTACTACTGTGACACAGGGTAGAAGTAGGATTCTTCAGGTTACACAGTGGTTGTTTTATTCCCAGCATCTCCAAAATCCCATTTTGACCCTTGATAATGCCCCTGCTTTCCCCATCACTTAAGACTATCACTTCTATGAGTAGCAGTAGCATTATAGCTCATGAACTCACAACACTGTAAAGTATAAGGAAAATTGTCCCCCAGTTCCAGCAAAAAGCCAAAGGAAAGCCACTGTGCTGTTAGTCTGTCATTGGGTCACTTCCTATCCAGACTTTCTACATCTAAGTTGTTTCAGAAGCAATAAAAAGCAGCATTATATGTGCCAGTACTTCTTAGAAAGTTGTTCAGTTTGTGGCTAAAATAATGATGCTGGATTTAGAAAGATCCCAAATCCTCAGCCACACAGTGTTATCCAACAGGATGAATAAAGAATCTGGTCAAGTAAATTACCTGCTCACACCAACTGTTCACTCTAATTTTGTGATTTCCACCACTGTTGCACTTACATATCTAAACTCTTATTTAAATATTTTCTGCTTCAAAGAAAAAGGCTTACCAAATTTCCAATTAGAAATCAAACACCTGATAAAATACTGCACTTCAAATACCCGATTGTTGTCTCAAATAATTTTTTGCTGTGAATAATAAAGCCCCAAGGAAGTTTTACTCCAACATTATCTTTGTCAATTTTAAGTTAATTTGCCTGCAGGTCTATGACAGATGCTGTTATATCTCACTAGATCCTGAGGTTTTATGAGTGATTTCTGAATTTAAAAAAAAAATCCCAAACAACTATTTTAAGCACTATTTGGGTTTTTCTCAAACTGCTTTTTACAGGGAAAAGAATAATTGGTTTTAACTATTTCAAGAGTGTTCTTTTAAAAATAACCGTCAGTGTAACAAGGGTAGGCTTGCATTTTAGAATTATACTGCAGTAATTGTTCTTAGATCTTTCACTACTGTAGTTTTGGGTGTTGAAGCTGTTTATGAGATAATGTGAACACTGTGGAAAGAGAGACAAGTTCCCAGTCTGACCCTGACCCAACATAAATCAAGAGCAGCTCTTGCTAAAGCTCATTATGAGATTGGTGAAATAGAGAGCAGATTCCAGCCCAGGCTGACTCCTCCTAAACAGTGCTTTGTGTCAAGTGTGGAAGCACTTTTAATGGCTTTGGATAACCATTCATCTGAGCAGTGTGATTCAAGGCTCTGTCAAAGATGTCATGCCATCTTTCCCCAGATTTTTTTATTTTTAATTATTTTTTTCAACTAAAGAAGAATGTAGCATTTTAATGGGAATTAGCTCATGAGTAAGAAAGGAAAGGTATTTTCTGTGAGGAGATTTGAGTGAAAGTTAAGGACAAATTTTTTGTGTGAATCATCTGGTTCGGTCCATACCAGCCATAAATGAGCAAGAGAGCTGTCCATAGGGAATAAGAATTTACCCAACAGCTTGCATAGTCTGAAGTTTACACACAGTTGCACCTGCCTGTCCATGAGATATTGCATCAACAGTGAGAAAGAAAATGTTTTCAAATCCAGACTTGCAGTCTTCAAAGTTCTCTGAAGGAAGGGGATGCCTTCAGAATCTCTCAGAAGACAAGATATTTGGCTGACACTGGGGAGACCACTTTGAAATCTGGCCTGCTGGATTCAGCCAAGGAAAAGAAATTTCTCTTACCTGATAGGAATTTCCTAGAACAACATGGTAAGCATAAGAGTAATTTCTAGTTTCTGATTAATTTCTAATATGATAACAAGCCTTGCCCTAGACTACAGAAAAAAAAAGTGTTTTTCTTCTGTGAAGGCATTTTGTCTGAAAGCTGCTGAGCAGCTGCATTTTGGGATACCAAGTCAGAGCCAACACTTTCCACAGGAGATGATAGATTTGAGTCTCCATTGATCTAGGGGAGGGGACAGACAGCAAGTGGCACATGGTGGGGTTTAGTGCCAGCCTGTCCGTGGCACAAATTCCCCTCTCACTGCTGTCCAGGTCTGTGGATGTTTTCCTTCAAAGCACACTGAAGGAAAAGGGAGAAGAGAAGCCATGCATAGATATGAGCTGCTTTTCTCAGGAAGCTGTAGAACCACTTGATGTGGAAACAGGCCCTTCAGCCAGGCACTTGGGTGGAGATGATCCCAGACTTCCCATGTCCTGGAACGGTGGACACAACTTATAATTCTCTGATGTTTGTTTTTTATCACTGAGCTTTAATGTCCCCATTTCCTTAGTGAGCCTTTCCACAGAGGCCCAGAAAATAACAATTTAATGTACTCCATGACCAATGTTGGGATTACCTCTCCTGGTTGTCCTCTTTTCCCAGGCTCCAACTGTGCTTCCCCAGTTGCCCAAAAGGACAAATATTCCTCTTCTATTGTGTCTTCTGGTGGGAGAGATTTTGATTCCTCTGAGAGTCCAATTTTAAATCAGATCAATGATCTGTTTTGACCAATAGTCTGTTTCCATCTTTGGGCAGCACAAGTAGTTTCCATCACATCTCCTAATTCCTCCATATTTCTTTGTCAGGGTAATTCCACATGGTCCTGGACAGCAGACAAATATGTCATTCAGTCAGAAACAGTTAAATTTACCAGACAGCTTTTCACTCAGCAGAGGATATACACTCAACTAAATTTGCAGAACCTGAAGTTAAACAAGCTCCCCATTCATGCAGAAACTTGATGTTTTGTCAGTTTTAAATTTCAAATTATAGAAGTATCTCAAATTAATGAAAGGATTAGATTTTAATCCTTTCAAATATTTCTGTGTGAACACTGTGTGTTGCATCCATGGCTGCTTTGATTTGAGGCAGAATAAAAATGTCTGCAGAAAGTGGCTGTTTTTCTCAAAAACATTCTATTTTCAGTAGGAAACAAATAATTTATGACAAGACTTTTTTTTCTATTTGAGTAAAGAAAATGCTTGAAGTGTTGATGAAAATCCTCCAAAGGAGAATGCTTTTATTTTTCAGCAGATCATAGCAGTTCATATCTTCCAAATCTCAGTCAATTTAACTATTCAGTAGCATTTGCTTGATAGGCAGTAGAGAGATTATCTCCTCTACAATTTGTCCTGTTTAGAGAGAGCTGAAGGATAATTGTGCAACACACTGTGGAAGCACCTCATTTTCCACACGTGGCAGAGGGAAGCTGGGTGACTTATAAAGTAGACCCCAAAGTTTTACATGTCTTAAAGTAAGTGAAAAATATTCCAGTCTAAAGTGTGATATATTTAAAGACAGAATTGCATTTGTTATGTTTTACAGTCCTTCCTATGC